GTTTCGGTTCCATTACCAAATTATCTAGCAGAACAGGAGATTAAAATTAATCAACCACCGCTGTGTTCAGGGAGGATTATTAATGATCGCAAAATAAATATAGAGCCTGAAAACCTGATAACGTAACGACTGAATGTTATGTTTTTAACGTAATCTCTGGTCGGCTTGTGGAGCGCAGGAGGTTGCCATGGCAACAGATGTGCTTAAATGACAGAGAGAGACGGAGAGTAAAAATGTGCGAGTGCTTTAGAGTTGATCACCTGTTCAGTTATTTTACCTTTCTTTACCTTTGCTGTGGCTCTTTACAGCCGCTGTAGTTTCTGAACGTTCAATAAACGACAAACTTGGACTAATTACCTCGTTCTTTGTGAGTTTACAACAAACACCAAACACAGTAAATATGTTTCATTAAGTATTTAACAAACAAATGGCTTCTACCGCGATAATTATGTGAAATTAAATTAATTGTCTAATATAAAAAAAATAGTTTGGTGCTGTCGGGCTCAGAGTCTGAGAGGCTTTTTCTTTATCAAACTATTTTTTTTGCCTCTTATTTAGTGGAAATATTGATGTTGAGACTTTCTCCAAAATGACAACCTTTTTCAATCTTTATAGCTCCACTGTTGAAAATGAGGAGAACGTTTAAGGACGTTTAAGTTTAATAAGTTGCACGTTAAGTGTTATCCAATACTTAAATGCTGTTTTACTAAAGTTGATACAGAAAGTGAACCTCTAAACGTTACAGCACTGACAGAGCGGTGTATATTTTTCCCCAACTGTAGCTAAAGCTGCTGCTAACTGGTTTACTCTCCAATCGGAGGCTGTTTATTTTACACACAGTCAGAGAATGGTGACTTGACAATGAGTAATAACGGCTATCTAACACTTAAATGCTGTTATTAATCTTACCTTTTATTATATCCTTAAGATAATTTTTCAGTCAGGTTTCCCGAGGACTGTTGAACTGAAGCCGAAAGCGCCAAGTAGGCAGACATCACAATCGATCTGCACACGGATCGTTCGCTTTCCTGTTTATTGACCAATAGGGAGCTGGACATAGAGGACAGCCCAACTCATTAACATACGGACGAAGCAGAAATACATCGAGAAAACAATACAGAAATAAATACAGCAAACAGAAAACGGAGAAGCAAAACAATCAAAGCAAAGTATATATTTATGCTTTTATTTCTTATCAAAATATATATTTATTCTATTATTTATATATTTCTACTTTTATGTTTATATTAATTCTTTCATTTATTATTATGTTGGATATATATTTATTCTTTTATTGATATTATTTTATTGATATATTTATTATTTTTTTTATATGTTGGATATATATTTATTCTTTTATTAATATTTTCATTCTTTTATTTATTGTGTAGTATATATATTTATTCTTTTTATATATTTCTGCTTTTATTTTTATATTTATTCTTTTATTTATTATTATGTCAGTTTTGGTCCTCCATAGAGACTAAAGTCCCATTTACACAACAACGATTTCGGGCAAAACGGAAGAGTTTTGTTGCGTTTGTAGTGCGCATTTACACAAAACCACCGAATATTTTCTCTGACAACGGCACAGATTGAAAACGGGTTCCAGAGTGCGATGTTTCTGAAACATGTCCGTTGTCGTGTAAACAGAGAAAATGGATCTTTTCTCCCAGAGAATCCTCAGCTCATGCATAGTATGACGCAAAACATAGCTGCTTCCTACAATCCACAGAAGAAGAAGAAACTACTCCCAATGCTGGTGTTACTGTTTCCCCATCAGATAGGTTCCCTCAGCGTTTCTTCACCGCTCCGCACCGTGACAGCTCAAACAACGTATTTCAGCAAAGTTATCACACTTTTTTCCAACAGCGCCCTAATCAGACGCACATAATGCCTGTTTTCTCCCAATCTATGGGAGAACGGTACCTGATGGGGAAACGCGAATCCACATGCCTTCTAGTAAAACTTAAAAAAAAAAAAAAAAACACATGCACACTTAGTTTCAAAGAACCTAGCACCGACTAGTGGCGTGGCGAGAGCATTACACGTTTTTGATGCGTACAGGATCAAAAACGGACTGAATGTTTTTAAAGTAATCTCAGGTCGGTTTAGGGAGCACAGGCGGTTGCCATGGCAACGGCTGTGCTTAAACGTCAGTGAGAGACGGAGAGTAAAGAGGTGGAGTGGTTTTAGAGTTGATCCCCTGTTCAGGTGGTTTTACGTTTTGCTGTGGCTCATCACAGCCGCTGTAGTTTCTGAACGTTCAATAAACGACAAACTAATTATCTAGTTCTTTGTGAGTATATTTACAACAAACATCAAACACGGTAAATATGTTTCAACTAACCCCAGCTTCTCCTGTTTCTCCAGAGAACGATCCGTCTGTGGTTTACTCTGCTGTTAGAAGAGACGATGTGAGCTATGGAGAGATCGTCATCAAAAAGAAAGAAAGCCAAAGACCAGAGGTAAAGCTGCTCTTCACCTCCTTCCTCTCATCTTCTCAGTGCTGGATGGTTCCACTGTCACTGCATGTTGTTCTATAAAGTTGTGATAAACAGTGGATGAGGCAGAAAAGTGACTTGGTAGAATAAACATGTACCAGATGGTCCAAACAGCTGCACCTAAAGAACTTTCTGGAATCCTGTAAACTTATAACTTCCCTCCACTTCTCATGTCTCTGAACACTTCATTGGTTATAATTTAAATGATTTAAATCCAGAACTTGGATCAGAATCTCATCTATTATAACGTCTATGACATGAAAAATACAAAAATCTATCCTGACTTTCTTCCTGCAAATATTTATAGAGATCCCATGAAGATTTGGATCCCAGAGGTCATTTAGAGACATGATGAAATAATCACAGCAAACATAAATCAAAGGGGGAGATTTATTGTTCTCTTTATTATATTTACAAATGCATGAAATATTTAATATTATATTTATTAGGCCAACTATAAGAAGAGTCTAAACTGCATAAGCACATCTGAATCGCATTGATGGAGAAACTATGATGCATTTTTTTCATTAGATGCTGAACACGGTTTGACGGACCATCACACTGACTGATTAAACTGGAGCCGTTTAATATATCAGTGAATGATTAATAAATGATTCCAGGTTCTTTGTTGGACTGTCCAGCCTCTTCATTCCAGTCAACTCTCATTCACCATAATATGAAACCCTCAGGTTTTGCAAATTCACCTGTTGGCAGACTTTTATAAATTTAATTAACCTTTATTTAACCTGGTGAGTTCTTATTTACAATAAAGACTTTAATAAAATATTTGAAAGAAAAAGCAGCTTGGGAAACTGAAACACCTGAAGACAAAACTACTGGACACACTTGGCTGTTATTTGGAAAGTGTCGTGATTTTAGGTTTTGGTGGTGAGCGAGACACGGTGGACCCAGGATGTAGTGAGGAATGATGGTTTAATGATGAGACACAGAAATCCAGGCAGCACAGGTTGGCAACAAGGCAAAGGGCTCAGATAATGACAGCAACTGGTAGAAAAACAGACTGGAACAAAGGCGACTAACAACAAGGATCCGACAAGGACTGACACTGTAAAACACATTAAGTTGACTTTTATTATGCAATGGATTTTTTTATGCTTAAAAAAAAATTACGTTTTCAAAACTTAAAAATGTAAATATGTACAAGTTGCCCGTTTGGTATTTACACAACTCGACTGATTTGATCATTTTGAAAACAATAACTTGGACAATTTTATTTAGAGTAATTTAAGTTAAATTCATAAATATGAATATTTCAATCTGGATAAACTCAGACACAGAAAGATCATTAAAGGATTTAATGACAAAATGAACAACGATTCTTTAGAAATGAATAACAGTTCTTTGGCGCTCGTGCCCCGGCAGAGGATTTAACAGGATTGTGTGATTAATACTAATCACACAAAGTAAGTAACTTGACAAATTTAATTTAGCTGTACATAAACTAAATAGCAAAGAAATCATGATATTATAACCTGCATGTAAATAAAGTATTTGGTCTAAACGTTTCCATGGTAAACAGTTTTGTTAAGTTGATATGGAGTAACTTCTGGGTCGGTCCTGAACGTTAAGCTTTTAAGATCTTAAATCCTCACCACTTTAATTATTTAATGATTTTGCTGAACTCAATTTAAATAAAGTTATCAGGCATTTTTTTATTCCAAACACTTATTCCTTTTATTTATAATTAGTACAAACAACAAGCTGATGAGAATTAAATTTGTTCACTTGAACTCTTAACATCAAACATTCCTCACTAAATGAAATGTTTAATTTCATTTATTGAGTGTATTAATGCTATGACTGTAAAGTTCAGCTTTAGAAAACACAAAGAATAAAGACCAATAGTTGATCATTCAGAAACATTTATCAGTGTCTTCATCTGCAACTAAAACTTTTTAAGTTATTTTTATTCTTTTCTACTAACTCATAGCTGCTCTGATGTGAAGTGAGAAGTGAAACCTTAGCAGCTCAGACTGGTTGGTTTCTCTTTCTGGTCTGGTCTTTTTGGTTTCTTGTTATTTTCTGCTTTGTGTTGAAATGTTTCCTCTGTGAAAATGATCAAGACGTTTGTGGTTAACTTCCTGATTTCAGATAAATTTCCATCACATGTTTAGTGACTCACTGAAAAGGTGTTAAGTTAAAAAGAAAAACCCTGCAAACCTGCTGCTGTTTATAAAGCATTCTTCATAATGGTGTATAAAACCTTTTAAAATTAATGAACAGCAGTCGTACTGTACAGTAATTTTATTTTTATTTTTTAGGGACTGACCCACATGCAGTTTATGCATCTGTGAAGACAAATGAGGTTAAAAATCATCAGAGAAGCAGAACCAGAGGTAAAACGCTCTAGATTTATGAATGTATGAACTATTCCATGGTTTTTGCTTTACATCAGGGGTCCCCAAACTTTTTCCTGAGGGCCACATAACTTTTCCCTTCTCTGCTGGAGGCTGGAGTCAGTTTGTAACAGAAAAAGTGAGTCGATTGCAGGAGCCTAAATGTAAAAATATGTTGTTTTCCAGAAAGCACAATCAAATAACCGTCTCTGGGTTCTTCACAGCAAAAATCCAGCAAGGATTATAGTCCGTATTTTCCAAACTATGAGCCGCACTGGACTATAAACCAAAACCCCAAAGTTTTTTTAAACCAGTAAACATAAACATTAAGCCGCTGATATCTCTGTCTGCCGCTCCAGGTTTTCCACAGCGATGCAGCAGCAGCAAAGGGGGGGGACAGCCAACATCTGAGTCATAACAGTCAATTGAATATCACATTTATTACGGTTGAAAAAGAAAAAGTTGCCAAGATTAGATTTAACTGAACTTTAAACTGAAATTTAACTGATTACGGAAGCTTCTGATCGGAAACTGTAACAGTAAAAGTGCTGATCCTTCATGTCGCTACTAGCATGAGCTAAATGAAAATGGTTGCTTTCTTCTTCTTTAGATTTCAACGGCAGCTTGCATCCATTATTGATGCACTACTGCCACCTACTGGATCCTAATATCTATACCTCAAATACTCATAATGATCCCAGTATTATTTAAAAAACTGTTAAATAGCATTTCACAGATTTCCAAAATCTGAAATGGAACGACTTGCACAGATCAAAGCTTGTGCACATTTGCAGCTCAACCGCAGTAGGATCAATAAGAACAAAGGAGTGTGTGCTGGTGTAAGTATTATTGCTTTGCTTTCTTTGTTTAGTGAATGAAAAAAATAAAGTCAATAATAAACATCCATTATGAAAACCTTTTAGCCAAGTACAGCATAAAGGCAGCACAGATACAACTCCTACATCCTGTCTGTTACAGCCTTACGTTAGCTGAACAGATCAATATGCAATGTGTACCGTATCTGACATACATTAAAGATTTTATTTCACCTGAAAAGGCTTTTTACTAAACCGTAATCGTGTTAGCCACGCTAATCGTGTTAGCCACCGAGTACTGTGTGTCAGGCCAAGGCACACTCGAACATCTGCCAACAGAAATCACCTTTAAAACCATGCCTTACCCAGCCTTGCAAGAACAACAGGCATCAGTGATCTTGTCCTGCTACGCTAATCGACTCAGAAATACTCTGCAGAGAGTCAGTCGACATGAAATTACACATAGAAACTAAGCACCGCGAGACTTTGTTTGTGAGATATGCAGTCATGTGAGACTTTCGAGGGGCGTTTCTGGGCGGGGCTTGGTAAGGTCCATTGTCCGCTTTATGGACTACACCACAAAGAAGCGGTGCTACAACAGGCATGGTCTCAAAAACAACTCGTCTTCCAAGGGAAAAGAATATACTTTGACCAGGACTTCTCTCCGGAAGTCCAAAAGAAGAGAGTGAGACTGCGGAGCATAATCAAGCAACTTAAAGAAAAAGGAATACAGGCAAAATGTCGTTTTCCTGTGCAACTCAGAATCGACTTGAAAGCGGCATGAAAACCTTCCCTACTCTTCTCGATGCGATTCCGACGTTGGAGAGGTTTGATATATCGGCGCAGATGAGTGAGAGAGAGAGGATGGAAGCGGAGCTCTCCAGAGAGGCCTGGACTCCGAGAGTCAACAAGAGACATGGAAAAGGGGGGCTACATGATTTAAAAGTTTACATTTAAGACTGTGGTGGGGAAAATGTTCATAAACAGAGGAGTTCTTGAGGACTATAAGGTATGTTTTGAGAAAAATTGGTAAGGGGGAGAAGAAGATGTTATTGAAATAGCCAATGTTACTTTATATAGTGAATTTGTATCTCAAATGTAATATCTCACGGGTTGTCAATATCACCGTGCATCAGTGTTGTGTTCAAGACCACCTAACCCGAGACCAAGACAAGACCAAGACCAGAGTGTATCGAGATTCAAAGATTGTTTGAATTTCTGAGAGCAATAAATAAATTGTTTTTGTTGTGTAACTGTAAAAGGAGTAGAGAGACAGGAAAAATCCACACAGATTACCTGGAATGATGCTAACTAGGTTATCATTGAACACAGTGTTGCTCAGACGGGGGTTAAAGGTTATGCTGGTATTGGTGTTAGAGCTGCTGCTGACTGACTCACCTGTTAAGTGTGGTAAGAGGTACAGGTACATATATAAATATCTTGTTAAATTCTTTCCTTCGTTCATTACATGCTAGTGAAATGGAAGCAAACAGTCAGTTGTTCTCGTCTTCTACTGACTGCTGCTGAAAACGTCACTGTCAAGGCGCCAAGCAGGAACGAACCATTTCAGCAGATCCAGGGGGGTCAGTGTAAACAAAGATGTCTGTTTTTTGGTCTGGAGGGGAAACATTTAATTTTTACTGCTAAAACAATTTTTAAAACATTATATGATTAATTTTATAATTGACAGGCCCCCAATTGTTTTTTCTATTGCTGTAAGATATAGAAAAAGTTTTTGTGGGGAGGGCCCCCTGCTGGTCAGGGTCCCTTGGAATTGTCCTAACTCCCCCCTCCCCCCCTATACGTCTACCCCTCGATTGTTCCCAGCAGTCCCTTGGTACTCTGATTACTCCCTGGTGCTGTCAATCATCCTCAGGCTCACTTAGCAGTGCTCCCCTCCGGATCCTATCCACTGTGTCCCTTCCAGAGCTCTATTCATGCTGCTCATCTCTGGCTCCTGGCTTTGTGTATTTTTGGATCATCAGTAAACTACTTTTTGCACCTAACTTGGGTCTGACTGCATCCAACCTCACCACAATAACCGCAATTCATGATGGTGCGCTGTCATCACCCATGTCTCCTGTAGCCGAACAGAGTTGGATGCTAACAATGACTTACAGCACTCCTGACACCATGTTGTGTTACTCATGAGTGAACTGAGTTGGACTGTCTCATACGTGATTAGTTTATTCAGGATGGACAAACTCCCAGCATGGAATCAACAATCAATGTCCTCTTTTATGACATCATCACAGGTGACCATTTGTAGTTTTTAACCATGCTTAGCATTATAATATATTTCTTTCACTGAAACATTGTTATTCCTTCAGTGGCATTTTTTAACCATTATTTTATCAGGAAGGCCCTGCAGATAAAATTGATTTTATATTTTGATTGAGACTCACAAATACTCACAAATAGTAATGTTTTGAAATGTTTTTGTGATTTCAGAGTTTCCACCAGGAGCAGATGTTTCCTAATCTTCAATGAGTTCATCGGTCACATCCTGGTGACCAGATTTCAACTCGCGCCTCCACGGCCTTCAATCTGGCTAAACAAAAAATGCCTTAAATAATCTTTTTTGCAAACTTCTTTGTTGTCTTTATTTGATTTTTTAAAAGTGTGCTAGACATGTCAGACTGAAACAAGTTTCTCTTTTTTTTTTTTGGATTTTCCTTTTTATTGAAGAATTCAATGTGGAACACAAAGGAAGTCTTTTCTCTGTGGTCAGCAGTGTAAATTTTTACTCAGAGCAATTTATATAAAAAATTAAAAATAATGTCAAAGGATTGAAATCACTGAGGGGTAGAAACTGTGAAAAACCTTTATGTTAAATAAGATTTGACAGTTTTTTTTTTTATATTTTTGCTTGTTTTTAACAAATGTATGCTACTATGACTAATAACAAATAAAAAGCAGCTAATTTTCATTTCAGATGTTAAGCTTTGTGTGATTGTGTTATTTAGCATCGTGCTAACAGTATCTTAAATAAGCTCGCTATGAATCTTTCCCTCAACATTTTCCTCTAGATCAGGGGTCCCCTGCATCTAGAGCAGGGGCGGTGAAGTGATGAAAGACAAACTTTCATCACTTGTCTGAGACGACATAAACACAGCCAGAGAGGCATAGAATAAATAGCATGATGATGAGTGTCGGACTGCAGGGCGGAGTGGGAGGATGGGGGGTTCACTCGAACAGCAGGTCCTCTGTCTTCAGTTTGTTCTTTGCTTTGAACCAATTGTGTGAATGATGTTAAAGATCCACTATCATGCAAAATTCTCTTTTTGCATGTTTCTGGCCTTTCATTTGCTTGTTTCCTGCTTCTAGAAATGGTTCAAAAGCAAATAAAAAAATACCCAGCCGTTTTTTGGGAATAAGTAAATGTTCTGCTGGTGTCTGTGAAACGGCTTGTTTCGTGAACCTCTAGATTGTTACATCAATTTGTTACCTAGCAACCCCAAACCCAGCCGGTCCCTCACCTGGCAATGGAGCTCCACCCACTTCACTACGGGACAAGTTTGTTCTTCAGCTTTTCTGCTGTACAATGGCTGCTGGAAAAGGAAAATAATTTGTTGTCATTGTATGCAAAACACCTTCCTTTGAAAACTACCAACATGACAGGATTTATCAAAAGACTTGGACTGAAGGAAGGTTCTGTTCCTTCTGTTCAAATCTGAAGATGAGGCACACCAGACGTAGCGGCACCCAGGATCCTTCAGGGCCCAGCGTCTCCTGGGTATAAAAGAAGAAGCTGACTTCTCTGCCCAGCTCTGACTCACCCAGCTTTCTTTTGGAGCAGCAGTATCGGCTTGATCCATCTGCTTTGGCTGCAGCTAAGCCAGCTGCCACCGGACTGCCTGATTATTTATTTTACTTTTGCTCAAGAAAGAGCCTAGTTATTTTTGAAGTCTGTCTTCCTGTTTTTTACTACGACTCAACAAGCCAGGTCGTACCACCAACATTGTCTGAAATGTATTTTTGTACCTGTTGAAAGATGTACAAAATGAATTTGATGATTCATTTGCAAAGTTGTGGTGTATTGGAGGCTGACCAGTGTTTCTCAACCTTTTTCAGGCCAGCGCCCCCCTAGCACTTACCCAGGTGCCTCACCGACCCCCTACCGCCACGCCTTAAGGGGCGGAGGGAGGGGGGTTGCTGAGCGAGTGAGAATCGTTCCTTCGGGGGGGGGGGGTCGCTCCTTCGTGGGACATAAGCCGAAGCGGCATAAAAACAGAGAGTGCTACGCTGAAAAGTCACATGATGCTCAAAATCTAAACTTGTATTGTTGTGCATTTAAGGTATAAAGCTTACCTTCGACTGAACGCCCCCCCAAAGGCATCCCAGCGCCCCCCTTTTGTAAAAATGCCCGCGAGCGCCCCCTGAGGGCCTCTGAACGCCCCCTGGGGGGCGGTACCGCCCACGTTGAGAACCGCTGCTGTAGACCATGGATGTTTGCTTTGGGGGAGAACATCTCTCCTCTTTTTCCTGTTCACCCACATTATCACACATCTCCTATTTCCTTTGTGATCAAACCCAGTGTTTGGCATCCGCTAAGTTATCCAAATCACTGACCTCCATACATCCCATCAGTGCCTCTGATTGTTGGCGATTATCCTTTTTCCAGCGTGGTTCACATTGTATGAAGATGAAGAAGAGTCACGGAGTTGAAATCGTCTATCCCATTTATTAAGACCAAAATACATACTTTTTATCACCGTTTTATCATTTTGTTAAGAACAACAGTCAGACCATTTCCTCCCTCATACCTTAAGGAGGAAGTAAGTCTCAAACCTTATTTGGAAATGGGACCATCACTCAACTCACTTCCACTAAGACACAGTTCTTTTGGCCATCTCAGGCAGATTTTGAACTTTTGAAACGGAAATTAGCTAACGCTCTCATCCTTAACCAGTCCAACCCCAAGACCCAATTCACCGTGACTGTGGATTCCTCTGACATGGGAGTAGGTGCAATCCTCTCTCAGATCTCTTCTGTTGTTCAGAAACATCATCTGTGTGCTTTTTTTCATTTACTTTTTCTGTCTGAAAAAAAATCATAACGTTGGTGACACAGAACTGTGAGCCATTCTTCAAGAAGAATCATGTAGCTCAGTATCCCAAACAATCAGTCTGATGGTGTTACCTAGGAGCATGTCCTTGGGAGCGCCCAGCTTCACAGTCGATAACAGGAGGGGTGAGGAGGGAAGAGCGTTGTGTTTACATGTCTTCAAGGAGATTGGAAATATGCTGCCCTTCCAAGGCCACACGGGGGAAGCCAATTCAGATACAGAATGGTTAGGTCGGGAAGATTATACATTTCAATCTTCCCTAAAGTCTCTCCGATACACTCTAAGAAATAACGCTCTGAATTTACAGTAACATACTGGCAGCTATAGACGCCAGAAGTTTACTGTAAATCCACAGTTGCTGTACCGTAATTAATCTTGACGGTAGATTACCGTTCTTTCACAGAACGGTAAAGTACTGGCGTCTGTAGCTGCCAGTACTTTCCCGTTTTTTAAAAGAATGGTAATCTACCGTTTTTCTGAAAGAACGATAAAAAAATACTGGTACCTGCAGACGCCAGGTTTTTTTTTTTTTCCGTTAAAAAAGAAAAAAAAAAAAAAAAAAAAAAAAGCTGGCGTCTGTAGATACCAGTATTTTACTGGACATTTACCTTTTCAATCCTGTAATTATCTTTTAAAGTGGTGGTGTACTGCAAGTAAATACTGTAATGACGCCAACACACCGCAGACGTAGTACCGCCAACAGGGTTTATTAGAAATAAGAGCGAGCAGCTGC